GAGCACAACATTGAAAGAGGAAACTGTCAAACACTTGGATGAGGACAAGAAAGACAGTGTGAAGAACGTGAAAGTTACCGATGTCAAAGTAGAAGGCAATACGGTGAAGGTTCACACCGATGTTGAAGTGAAGAAGACCGATGACAAGAAGACAGTTGAAGCAGCTGTGAAGAAAGTCGTCGAAACGAGCAGCGAGGTAAATTGAAAGTGTTTGCACGCTGGATAATGAGCGAAAAATGAGAAGAGAATTAGTGAGTAGTCTAGATGATCAAGTTAGAGTTGGAGTTGCGAGTCGATTTGAATCGAATGTTTTATGCATGCTTGTCATTGTGACAAGAGAAATGACGCGTTCTTCTCTCTCCATTCTGGCTTGAATCAATCATTCACTGATTGCACTAAAGTACATATGGTTATTTGAAGCAATCAATGCTCTGAAAGAATCTATCTGTGAACGTTTTTCGCTTCACGCATAGAAAATCAAAGTGGTCTATAATTTGAGTGAAGCGTGGTTTTCTCGCGGCAGTCTTACCGATATTTTCTTCGAGTCAGCCAGTCGAAAAGAGCATGAGTCCAAAATGCGCTTTGAAATCAGCTCATAGTCGATCGATCGGCGAGTGACTCTCGCTATGGATTTCTCGTAATGTCTATTTGATTTGATTACTTTGATACTAACTGTCATCTTATAGTTGAAATCAACGATTTCGCAAACGGCCACGAAAGACGTGAAACATGAAGATGTAAAATCGACATCTGTCACTGACATCAAACATGAAGACAAGAAGGACACCAACGAGAAGACAACTAGTAACATTGTCGTCATTGAACACAAGACGGCCGAGGAAGCACAAAAACACGCAGAAAACATCGTCAAAGACAAGTCGTCCGTGAGCACAACATTGAAAGAGGAAACTGTCAAACACTTGGATGAGGACAAGAAAGACAGTGTGAAGAACGTGAAAGTTACCGATGTCAAAGTAGAAGGCAATACGGTGAAGGTTCACACCGATGTTGAATGCCACAACAGTGAGGACAAGAAGACAGTTGAAGCAGCTGTGAAGAAAGTCGTCGAAACGAGCAGCGAGGTAAATTGAAAGTGTTTGCACGCTGGATAATGAGCGAAAAATGAGAAGAGAATTAGTGAGTAGTCTAGATGATCAAGTTAGAGTTGGAGTTGCGAGTCGATTTGAATCGAATGTTTTATGCATGCTTGTCATTGTGACAAGAGAAATGACGCGTTCTTCTCTCTCCATTCTGGCTTGAATCAATCATTCACTGATTGCACTAAAGTACATATGGTTATTTGAAGCAATCAATGCTCTGAAAGAATCTATCTGTGAACGTTTTTCGCTTCACGCATAGAAAATCAAAGTGGTCTATAATTTGAGTGAAGCGTGGTTTTCTCGCGGCAGTCTTACCGATATTTTCTTCGAGTCAGCCAGTCGAAAAGAGCATGAGTCCAAAATGCGCTTTGAAATCAGCTCATAGTCGATCGATCGGCGAGTGACTCTCGCTATGGATTTCTCGTAATGTCTATTTGATTTGATTACTTTGATACTAACTGTCATCTTATAGTTGAAATCAACGATTTCGCAAACGGCCACGAAAGACGTGAAACATGAAGATGTAAAATCGACATCTGTCACTGACATCAAACATGAAGACAAGAAGGACACCAACGAGAAGACAACTAGTAACATTGTCGTCATTGAACACAAGACGGCCGAGGAAGCACAAAAACACGCAGAAAACATCGTCAAAGACAAGTCGTCCGTGAGCACAACATTGAAAGAGGAAACTGTCAAACACTTGGATGAGGACAAGAAAGACAGTGTGAAGAACGTGAAAGTTACCGATGTCAAAGTAGAAGGCAATACGGTGAAGGTTCACACCGATGTTGAAGTGAAGAAGACCGATGACAAGAAGACAGTTGAAGCAGCTGTGAAGAAAGTCGTCGAAACGAGCAGCGAGGTAAATTGAAAGTGTTTTCACGCTTAATAATGAGGGAAAGGGAGGATATAGTTATGGAGTTATTTATTCTGTTGCGGATAGTGGGTTAGTCGGCGAGTGACTGTTTCTCTGGGTTTCTCGTAATGTGTATGGTTTCTGAGTTCTTTGCTACTAATTTTGATGTTATAGTTGAAAGGAAGGATATTGGAAACGGGCACGGTGGACGTTAAACATGATGGTTTGAAATTTGCGTCGGTTAAAAATGTGGCTGTTAATACATCGAAGGTTCGTTGGGTGGTTGGTGATTTTATTTGTGATCGATTTTTGTTCGATGTGTGTTTGTTTTAGAGTCGAGCTTCGTACTTACCTACGGCCGAGGAATGCAGCCGTTGTCCATCGGCTTCTGGTGGTCGTTTGTTGTCGTCCATTATTTTAAGCGGTGTTCCTTACCGGAAGGCAATGTCAAACGAGTTTTTGTCTGGTGCGGCAGCTTCTCTTCGTGGTGAGTTGTCGAAGGAGCTCAGGAGCGAAGAGGAACCGCAGTCGTTGAATATTGTTACTGTGGATGGTGACGATAAGAATACTGTGGTTAATTTGGAGTTGAAGTCAAAGGCCGGGTTCCTTGATGTGATTAAGGCGAAATGGCACGAACAGTCATTCATCAAGAAGGTGTGTAGTTTCTTAGTTACCTGGATTATGTAATGTGACTCGTGTGATTTTCATCGTAGGTGCTGGAGGAATTTCAGCCGGATCCAGTTGGCGCCTGAAGATTTTGAATGATATCCAGCAACTGTAGTAATTGGCGCAAGTTTTGTTTTTTGTGTGGTTTCATGTGTTTATAGTTACGAATAAATTATTTTGATATGCGGTGGTTTTTTCCGATTAGCATACATAATAGCCTCGTGTGAGAAGATGTGTATTGATCCCCGGCAGGATTCGAAGCTACGGTTTTGTTCAACAGTTGTAGAACAGTTGAAGCGTATTGAGTGACATATAAGGAACAATGTGGAGATCTCATTTCTCAGCGAGAAAATCTAGGATCAGCTTGGATTGTTTTAGTTTGAAAGCGCAACGTTTCGAGGACAAGAGGGGCCAAGATAGTACTTGAAATTTGTTTTTTGGGGGATAAAATTTAGATCTAGGTCTTACTGAAAACTTGTTGGCAACCCGATTTTCCAGTATCTTCCGCCGCTGTGTTTGCCGTGTTAGGTGTTCCGGAGTTTGAATTAAACGTGACTACAGATAGACCTTTGCTGACCTATCCATAAAGTCCTATTGAATGGTCTAATTAAAATTTAGTTTTGGTTACATTTTCGATTCGAAAATCGTTTTGTTCGAAATGCTACAGCAGAAAATAAATGGAAAAAGTTTCAGAAGATATGCTATGGATAAAGCTTTTTTACGATCTATCTAACGGTTTTACTCCATGTATGGCTGATAGATTTAGGAATGGTATTATTCGCAAAATAAAGTTTTTTAACATGTTTTTTAGAGTCAATCGAAAAGATGTTCTCGCGCAGAGCAAATTGGCTAACGAGGGAATCGTCCCACTTGAATCACCCCGTTTTCAACCATATTTAACTAATATGTAGAGCCTATTGCCCTGGTCTAAAAGGATTTGGACCCATGTTGCTTCCTTCAGGAGTTATTGAATTTTTTCGTTTCGACAAGGAGGACGATCCATCACCGCCTAGGCAGCCTAGTATTAATAATCCCCGCAGATTCAGACCTTAGCTGTTATACTGAATGAACAATCGAAGCTTTATATTTTTTGCCTAAGTGATTCGTCTTTTCTCATTTTTATTTCTGGATGTAATGGTGTAAAGTTCGATTGTTCATTCAATATAACAGCTAAACGTTTGAATCTGTGGGGATATTAGTAGATGACTAGGCTATGATGAGAAAACAATTTGAGCTCTTAACTGCGCTGAGTTATAAAAAATTTAATGCTAAGGATCGTCCTCTTCGTCGAAACGAAAAAATTCGGTAACGCCTGTAGGAAGCAACATGGGTCCAAATCCTTTCAGATCATGGCAATAGGCTCTACATACTAGCAAACTATGGTTGAAAACGGGGTGGATCAAGTGAACCGGTTCCCTCGTAAGCAAGAAATTGTGCGCTAGAAAGATTTGTCTTTAGACTCTGCTGTTTGAACCGAAAAAACTTAAAGCCGATCCTACGCTGACAAATAAAGAAAAAAATGTTACAAAAAATGTTACGAAAGACGTTTACACTGTATGTTACATGTTTCTGCCGTAAAATGCTTGCAATATGATAGAAATCTTCCAGAAGGAACTGTATGATGAATAGAACGGTTTAACAATGAAAAATGGAAATGGTGAACTTTTTCTATCAACGGCCACTATGAGAAGTTTTATGTTCTTGGCGTTTTACAAGATAAAAGTTATTTCATAGAAAACCAAATTTGTTCGGGCCTTAAATGTGTTGAAAGTGACTTGACAGAAGTAGCAGGTCCTTGAGACAGAAATTAAAGAAAATAGACTTTTCCTACAAAAAGTTACGCACAAAGGATTTAAATGAATTATTTTAAAAATTAATTTAAATTGATTTTTCACGGAAATTGAAATCAAATAGATAGTTGGTCCAACGTGTGTAAATCTATTTCAAACTGTGAATACATTTAAACTTCTTTAGAAACACAAATCTATTTGAGTATATTTAACTAACGAAAAAAATGTATTTAGATACCCTTTTTTTAAAAATTCACTTTTAAAAGATCTATTTTTTAATGAATTTTAGAAAGAGTTTCCATCCATTAACCATTTTGCTGCTTTTTCCGCTTCTTCGTGAAATAAACTAGTTCCTTGCTGTATATGCCAGAGCTGTCAAATTATCATTATACAGTATAACTATCAAATGCACGAAAAACTTCAGAATTTCAAAGTTATCCTTATACCGTGTGCGATAGTCACACTTATACAAAATGTCAGAATTTCAGAACTTCAGAGTTACGCTTGTACAGTACTTCAAACTGGCAGAATTTCTCAGTTTCGGAACTTCAGAATTTTAGAAGTTCAGAATTTAGAATTTCAAAGTTATAGTTATAGCGTGTGCCACAATTACACTTATACAAAATGCCTGAATTTTAGAATTGCAGAGTTATACTTATACAGTATTGTAGAATTTGTTTATACTTATGCAGAAGTTCAA